CGCCGTACACACTCATCCACGTGGGGGGCTCTGCCAATCCTGCTCGCACTGGACAGTCCCAGAGCTCAGCCTGGGGGGCCCTGCAGAAGCCTGCAGACATGAGCACGTGGTTCAGACCTCCTTCTCCCCAAGGGCACTTCCAAACTCCACAGGCCAGTCTCTAAACAAGAGGGTCTGCCCCTGCCCAGCGCCTCCTCCAGGTCAGCTCTGCGGTCACCGAGGCAGGGCCAACTCAGCTCCCTCAGACGGAGGTCAGGACTTCTCTGTGGAGCCCACCAAGCCCAGGGAGGCCCGGGCTCCAGGCAGATGGAGGACGCAAGCCCCCAGGCTGAGGGCACAGATCCAGGGGCCCGGTTACCGTCCCTCCTGCATGCCTGACCTCTGGCTAACTCCACCTGGCCCAGACAGGTCCTGCCATGGCTGAGACCACCCAGAGTCACATGTGTGAATGTCCCCCAACCTCACAGGCAACAGGAACTTTCAAGCTTTGCTCAGAAGCACCGAGAACCCCCTCAGGGTCGGACGAGGGGAGGGACTGGAGAGGAGCCAGCAGGCACCCCACTGGCTCGACTTTCCTGTCCTGCATGCAGCAGATAGCTGGCGCGTGAGCCAGGGCCTGGGTGTGACAGGCGTTGACAGAAGGGCAGAGATCTAACATGAGGGCACTGAGCTGCGACCACACAAGGAAAGGGCTCGCAGCCATGCCTCCATGCTTCCTGGGACATCAGCCAGCATGGGGAGCACGGGGGCCGGTCAGAGCTCCTCCAGAGGGGACTGCACCTGGGCCGGCCTCAGAGGTCACAGGGCGTCCGGCTGCCCCTTCCCTCCCTGCTCTGCTCCAGTCTGTGTGTCTGGCCGGAAGTGCCCAGCCCACCCTGCACACAACTCCCCACCCCCTAGTGCGGACCTATGGTCCCAGACCCATGGAGTGGGAGATGCCGGTGGCCAGACGCTCCCATCCCCCAGGCAGCAAGGCTGAAATGGGCTCACCTGTGAGTGGACTGGGAGGCCTAGACCCCGCTTGTCAGAAACAATGAGAGTGATGATGGTCTTGAGGACGGTGGCAAGGAATGTGTTGACTCCGAAGACCAGGGCACAGAGCTCTTTAGAGAGAGAAGACGCGATCTGAAAACTGAACGGGAAAGCGGTCAAGGTGAGACTCAGCAGGGGAACGAGAAGTACTCCGGTACAACGGGGACTCGGCAAATCCCTCCCGGCATCCAGGCCACCCGCCACTCCTGGGCACACGCCCCAGGCTCTGTGAATCCAAGACTAAGGACAAGATGCACCCCCAGGAGGATGTTCAAAACGTCTCCTGGTAATTCTGGGGCAGAGATGGTCATCCTCATGAGAACGGGCAGAGCATCATGAGGAGGGTTCTAGAAGCACGGTTGTTCTTTGTTGAAGACTTCATAAATTAGGAACGGGACAGTGAGACAAATGAGGAGTGACCGTGCACTCAGCTCCCGGTCCTCTGCAGAGAAACGGACAGGTGAAGGTATTCCCATTAAAATCCCCAAAGCGCCCCTAAAAATGAGTAACTGAACAGGAAATACTCTAGAGCTCTGAAAAGTGAAGAAGCAAACATACCCAAGAAGCCTTCCAAGAGGATGACAGAGGCCGAGGGGCTCCGCTGTGCTGGGGTCTGGGGTGGGAGCAAGACCGACCCGCCGGGCTTCTGTGACCCCCACCGGAGAGCTCGCGGAGCGAGAGAGAGCGCGTCAGGCAGAGGTCTGAGGGAAACCCACACCGGGCCACGTCCCCAGCATGGCAGAACGCCACGCCACCCCTCCTCGTGTCCCCCATGTCTCCACAACCCTGAGCGGGAGCAAACCAAGCCGTGCCAGTGGGCACGGCACAAGGCTCCGACCGCATTTGGCTGACGCAGTAGAGAACCGCAGAACAAACAGGCCACTCACACCGGGGAGGAGCCAGCCCCACTGTCCCTATGGAAAGGCCAGTGGGCCTGCAGGGCCACCACGCACTTCCCGCTATCTACTGACGCCCCCTTTCCAAAGCACACGCCCTGCCTGGCCAGGCCCCTTCTGGGAGCCACCTGAGGCCATCATCCCGATTCGGAGAAAGAAAAGTCGGCAAGAGGAGTTGATCTCAGGGCTGTCCTAAGAAAATACCACACGCACCACCCCCGTCAGCTGGGGCCCAGCTGCACAGCATCAGCAAGAGCCCGGTTACGCCCACATCGTGACGTGAGCCCCAGAGCGAAGCAGACAGGGCAGGAGGCAGAGGGACGAGCTCCGAGTCACGTCAGGCCAGACACCCGAATGCCAGCAGCGAGGCCTCGGGTGGGAGGAGGCACCTGTTCTCTCCTCTACACCTGCCTACGTCCTGGTGACGGGACAGGGGGCGCGTGCCAAGAAAATGCTTCTGGGACGTCTGCCGGCTGAGAGAGCGTGTGGTGTGGCGGGAAGCAGGGAAGCCCCGGGGAGCGGAGAGTCAGGCCTGGGGATGCCGCCTGAGCTCGGGAAGCAGTGGGGACAGACGTCTGACTCGGGGTGACCAGGAGGGCCCCCCACCCTCCCCGGAGGGTGACAGAGCAGGCCCACCTGCTGGGTGGAGGCACGGGGAGAGAGGCCCCTACGTGCATGTAACGTGGGCACGTGGGATGTGAGCGTGTGTGGTAGGAGCACGTGTGGCATCAGCTTCGTGGAAGGGTCAGTTCGAAGGAGCACACAGAGGATCTTAGCAGCAAGCAGGACGCGGGCTGGAGAAGGTTCTGGAAGGCACAAGTGGGCCGGCGGACAGCTCTGGGGACATCCTTGGGCGTGAGGAATGCGAGGGCTCCAGGACAGCCCCAGGCAGCCGGCGAGCTGGGCCACCTGGTCACTCCCTGGCCGTGCATGCGCCACGGCCGTGCGATGGGAGGGGACAAGAAAGGCCTCGTGCACCCAGACGGGCCCACAGCAGCGCTTGGGGCCTGGAAAACAGGGGAGGGAGCTGGGAGGAGGACTCCACAAGGGCTGGAGACCGCGGCCACCAAGCAGCCTCCATGGGAGAAGCGGAGGGGACAGCGCGTGGACCGGGCTCTGCACCAAGCTCAGGGTCACAGAAGCCAGGACAGGCTGTGCTGTGGACAACGGGACACCTGGGCCCAAACGAGAGCACCCTGGGTTCACCGCTCCTCCCGACACGAGCGAGCGCACGCCACCGAACGAGCTCAGCACTGCGTGCACACACCCCTTCTGCTCCCCACAGAACATTCTGGAAGGGAGGGCTCTGTACATGTGCGGACGGTCTGTCCATCCCCAACCGGCAAGAGGAAGGTGTGTGCCCTCCGGCTGCCCGCCACTGCCCGGCTCTGGGCTCTGGCACTTCAGTGGCCTCCCAGACCGTGGCCTCCCACAGCCACCCACTCAGGTCAACTCACGTGGCAATGGGCACCAGGAACTGGTAGGCACCACGGAAGAGCACAAAAGCCAGGTAGCACAGCCAGATGTTGCTGGTGCTGTACATGAGAAAGACCAGCATGGCCTGCAGCGCCGTCACGCCCGCGATGACCAGCTTCGCCCACAGCGCCCAGTGGATCTTCACAAAGCCCGCGGAGAACGACGTGATGGCACCTGCGGAGACAGGACACGTCACCGCCGTCCTGGCGGGGCGGGCAGGGCGGGCGTGGTCGGTGGAGCCGCGGGCCTACCGAGCAGGGTGGACGCGGCGTCCGCCCCCCCGTTGTAGACCGAGGTGGAGTCCGTGGTGGGGTGGACCACGTTCCACAGGATGTGCACGTAGTAGACGACCAGGTAGTAGGCGGCCGAGTTGAAGACCCACCAGAGGGACCAGAGGCGGAGCTGCGGCGACCGCAGGTTGCGCCCCAGCTCCCAGAGCATGCGCACCAGCGTCCAGTCCCGCCAGGCCCCCCGCGGCGCCCGGCCCGGCCCGGCGTCCGGGTTCATGCGGCCCAGCTCGGAGGGCGCGGCCCCGCGGCACACAGGGGCGTCGCGGTTGAAGAAGAGGCTGCGTCTGGGCCGCTTCAGGAACAGGGCGAGGACCAGGCTGAAGGCGAGGAGGCCGAGCGACACGAAGTTGAGCGTGGAGAAGGACACCCCGCCCGCGCTGACGAGCAGCTGGCCCAGCACGGAGCTGGTGAAGACGCCGAGCAGCGTGGCCGCCCGCGAGTGGCCGGCCATGCGCTGGTAGCGGGCGGGGCGCACGAGCGAGAAGATGTAGGACGAGTAGGCGATGCGGGCGGCCATGGTGACGCTGTAGAAAAGCTCCATGAGCTGCATGTGCAGCACCGAGCGGCCCAGCCACAGCAAGAGCCACACGGACACGTAGCTCAGGCTCTGCAGCACCAGCACCGGCGTGTAGCGCAGGTAGTCGGTCAGCAGGAAGATGGGCACCAGCACCGCCAGGTAGGAGTAGGACAGCACCGGCGTGATCTCGTTGGTGACCTGTGGACAGCAGGCCGGTGACGCCGGCGCCAGGGCGGCCGCGCGCTCCCGCGCCCCCAGGCCCTAC